AAATGATCAGGAGCGCCTTGAAATGGTCAGATCCGCCTCTCTGGCTGCAGTGCGCACTCACGACAGGGGGAACAGAAAAGACCGGCTCTCACTTACCGACCAGAACCAGAACCAGAACCAGAACCATCTCGGAGCTTCTCAAGGTTCCTCCGGATCCAGAATCTGGCAGCAGGTCCAGCAGATCAGGACCAGAACCCGGACAGTTCCAGTTGGTTGAATTCGGTTCCAGGTCAAACTTGGACTCTCCGCATTCCTCAGGTTCCAGAGTCCAAGGTTCTCCACAGACCCGCGCAGACAGGTGCGCGCAAAAACGTTAAGAGCGCGTGCGCGGGTGCGCGCTGTTGGGTGTGAAAGCACTGTTGTTCCAGGGACAAATGTTCACCTTTACCTGCAGCAGTGAGCTGGTCAGGCTGCCCATAGAAAGCTGCAGCAGCCAGTCAGACTCTGACTGGCTGCTGCGCTGCTCCTCACTAGCCTTCAGCTTTGCTCATTTTGCTCTTTAAAACTATTACTCAGTTCCCTTCAGATTAATATTTTCCTAATTACCAAACACTGTTTTAATATAAATAACAGAGAAACACCAGAGTAAGAAGGAAATAAAGAGTTTTAGTAGAATGTCGTTATATTAAACCTAAAGCTGGAGATAAATCCTAAAAACACCTGAATATTTGAACTAAAACGTTATAGTCTGCAGACTAATCTAGCCTGATGCTTTTATATAAGATCATTTAACATATATATAAACCTGTAGCCCCTCCAGAGAAAGTCCTGCCCCCCTCCCCCCCACTGCTCTAACTGATAGCTGTTGGTTTGTCCCTCATTCTCTGATAACCACTGCCTCCTGGACAGAAGCTGCTGAGGGCCATCAGAGCGCTGCCAGGCTGGGCCCCCCTGCACAGACAGCAGGAGAGACATCCAAAGTTTAGAAGCGTTTCTATGTTAAAGTGATGCAGCTGCTGCCTGAGCTTCTTCCTGCTTCATGCAGCAGCTTGATCAACTTTAAAGGTGCTGCATCAGCTGCTAAACCACTGAGGAAGGATTATTATTCTCCATTACTGCAGTGGATGAAAGAATGATAGGGAAATGTTTTATGGAAGTTTAGAACCAGGCTGATTGTCTTTGCAAGCATTAAAAATAAAATAAAAACTGTTGCTTTAAGTGTGAAGAACACAGAACAGCTAACCCTGCAGATATGACATCACTACAGAGTGTGACTAACCCTAACCCAGTAAATGATAAACAACCAGACACTACAAGGAGCAGGATTCATGACAGCAGATATTAAACTACATGACTTTTATTAGAGTTATTAGTCCTTTAGTCCTGCACTTGTTTACATTTTCCGCTTAATGTAGTTTCATTTTTTTTTAACAGTCTCCTGTCTGACCATGTGGCAATAAGATTAATTGTCTTGATGCCAAAAAAGAGCCCAACAGATTTTACTTTCACAAGTGTAGCGGTATGGCAATTGCCATATTGCTCCACTTGGTTTATACATATAAATAGCTTTATTATAATTATGCAGGGAGTTTTACAGATTATATGGACACTGAAATGTAGGTAGAACAGGAAAGGAAAAACAGAAGAAAAGATGAAAGAAAGAGGAGATAAAGGGAGATAATGATAAAACATTTTCAGTCTGCTTCATCACCTGCAAAGAGATGGAAAAAGAACAGAACAACCAACAGACATGGAAGGAGACATACAATAAAGCAACACCTTGATACTATCGCTGAAGTATAAGTAGTATTATTTGATCTGACATGTACTCTGTGTTACCTGAAGATACGAATACAGGCTTTCTGTTTGGAAGGGAATNTAACCTCTGAGCCAGTCAGTGAGGTAAAGGTGCTAAACCAGAGGAATGGATGAGCGTTTCAGTGAAGACTATAGCGGTCTACCTCTCAGTCCTACGTTTTATTCCCAACTCCTGTTAATGAAATACTGAACCTTCAGTGGCAAAGATCACAAACAGTAGAAAAAACAGACTGTAATAACATTAACACTTAAATCTTCTAATTAATATATATTTCAATATAAATATTTAAAATAACTATATTTAAAATTTAAAAATGCATATTTTAAAATATATACATTTTAATATAATATTCATTATAATAATATAATATAATATAATCATTATAATAATAATTGTTTGTAGAAGCCATCAAAGGTCAGTGAACATTTTTTCATTCTGAAAAAAAATTATAAGTTGCTAACCTATGATTATATCATTTTAAACTGTAAAAAATTATAGCGGCACAAATGAAAAAATTTGCTGCACAAACCAGCGCAAATGGAGTCGACTTAATTGACACCAATTTTGTCTGATTTGAAGAAGGTGGGGGGGGCTGGTTGACCTTTGATGACCTCTAGAAATATTTCTTCATATCTTTAAAATGATAGCGGCACAAACGACAATCTTTCCTGCACAAACGTAGCACAAGCGTTTGACACTAATTTGGTCTCATTTGAAGAAAGTGGGGGGGCCAACTTCACTCAGGTATTCCACCTTAGTAAAAAAAAAAAAACAATCCTCTGGACTTTAATTCCAAGGGGAGAAGACATTTTGCTTCCCATCCAGGAAGCTTTTTCAATTCAAAATGTCTGGATTAGCATGGAGTTGCTTTATACAGTAGCCTTGTTTTTTCAGCAAAAAGATCCCTGCCATCCAGCACCACCAGTCTCTCCCATTTTCATGTGGTCTATGGATTTCAGCCTCTGGTGTTTACCATCCAGGAAAGAGAAGCAAAAGTTCCATCAGCCCACATGACTGCAATGAGGTGCCAGCGAGTTTGAAGGACAGCCAGAAAAAACGGAAGAGTTGCAGTTCCGTCAGAAGCCGCCAATTGCCATTGTCTACCGGGACCGCTATACCAAGTTGGTCAGAAGATCTGGTTCTCTATCCGGGATTTGCCCCTTCGAGTGGACAGCACAAAACTGGTACCCCGCTTTATCAGTCCAATCCCAATCTCTAAAGTATGGAACCCGGTAGCCATCCGTCTTCAGCTCCTAACATGTTGAACATCCCACTCTGCAGAATCTGTTAGTTCAATCTCTAACGTTCTGCTCTCTCTGCTTTTTCTCATAGTAGCTTCATCTGGTCTGTTCCTGTTTGG